AATCAGTTTCAAACCAAATGGCAAACTTCTCTACTGGCTGGCTTTCATAGCTCTAGAAGGTTCTATGTGGGCTGCTAGGAGAGGGAAAAAAAATGAGTAGTCTCACCCAGTGCATGACTCTGCTTGCTATAATACTAAACTGTCAGGTAAGATCTCCCTATCAGTACAGTAGTGGTATGATTGCTATAAGGTAGCTCATCACTTTCTCATTAGATGTGAGGCCTGCTCCATAACAGAATATCACATGCCTTCTCCTGTAATTATGGTCAGAAACCCATGGCTATGGCGGTCATAGATCCTAGGATAGAACCTGCTATTGCCATTTTGCTAAATCATCATGTTGTCAAAATTACCTTCCAGATATTTATGTTTATGCCCATAATGTGGCTGCTCTCAATCTTGGTCAGAGAAGCTTCGCTTTCTAGTGGGCTAGTAGTCACTGCACAGACACATATTTGGCCAAAGTGGTGATAATAAGAGACTGTGTGCTCAGTCCTAAATGGAACGTGTTACGGATCACTCTTACTCCCCGAGTATTAGGAGGAATGCTGCTTAATGCTATCTTCTGGCAAGGACATGGCTATCACACTAATGGCTTCACTGCAGCTGTGTTTATCTGCATAATACTTGCATACTCTCAAGCCAGCCCAAATTCTATTCATGCTGGGGTGTGTTTCTAGGCCCCACCCCTTACTGAGGAGCTATGAAGAGTTGATAGCGGTTGGAGGGGAGAATTGTTCTATTTTTGAGGATGTTCCTCCTGGTAGGTTTCCCATGCTCCAGTGAATGACTCCACAGTCAAGTACATATGGGCCAGGTTAGTTGTACTTAATGGGTTATCAAAACTACTACAACCAAAAGAAGATATGAAACAGAGATGAAGACATGTTGAAAGAGATACAGTGGGAATTGCAGGAGGGAAATGAGAGGTGTACATGATCTTATTTAATTATACGAATGTGAAAATCTCAAAAATAAAGAAAAACATAATAAAAATTAAAAGATAATAGGTAAGCAAACCTTTAAAACATAGAAAAAGTATTAATTCTTGTCAACAGCAGGCACAGGTTAGCATTTAAGTACCGAGGATTTATAGATAAGCACAGGCTATCCTTTTATGCATGGGCATGACACAGCTTTGTTATCTGCCAAAGGGCTGATATGTTCTGCTTTGTTTACAATAGTTTCTAAATGTTCTAAAGAAGTCTTTCTGGTTGTGGCCCTTGGGTTTGTTGTCTGTCTGTGAATATCTTCCTCCACTTTCCATATCTGGTCAATATCTACTGATTTTACATACTTAATTAGACATATTGAAAATTCATTATCTGTTATGAAACATCAACAAATTTAGTATATTTCATGCCCCCTTCCTTCTAAACAGATACACATTGCAATTAAACATATGTTCTCATGATAAGACTGCAGAAACAGTAGTAGAAATTTAGATATGATCTTTATAATAACACAAATTGCTGTTCCCATCATTTTAAGGTGTACGAGTTTCTTTACCCAAATGACTTTGGCTAGAATCTTCAAGCATTGCTGCCATGAGCAAGGAAAGAGGTACAATGATATAAATAACACAAAATTTTCAGTCAAGGAACCTGGTATTTAAAGCTAATAATCCTTACAATCCTTAGTAAATCATTTACTCTGAGGCTTAGTTATCTACAGCTTAAAATTGGGTGAAAGGTATTGGATTAATATTATTAAATAAGTTAGAATAATATGATTAAATAGGTTAATTTAGTGCTATTTTACTTCACCACTCTAAACTTGTTACTAGCAAACATTAGAAGTAAATCTTTTAAGTTTAAAAAATAAAGATCTTCTGTTCCACAAATTTTAAAAAATTATCTTTTCAAAGAATGACCTTGATAGACCTAATTCTTGCAAAGAGTCTTTTGTAAGGTAATGTTGATCATATGAATTATACATTTGGAAGTGGAAGTGATTGCAGTAAGGCTAGGAAAGTTTTAAGATGCTTTAAGAAGACAAAGTGATAACACTAATTTTATTTGCAAGTGATATCTACATGTACTTGAAAAGCACATAAGAAGCAGTTTTTAAAGTTCTCAGATCAGTCAAGAGGAATTAAACATCAAAAACTTCCTTATCTGGAATGCATATCTCATTCATGATAGTGTGTATATGTACATACGTACAGCAATACACATATAAAGCACACACATATACACATACATGTAAAATAAACTTACATAGGGAACATAATATATATGCAAACAATACTTACACACACACACATATATATAACACATACACTCATATACATACATATGTAACTCATACACATATACTTACATACAGTAACATATACAGGACATTATAAATATATTTAGGACCAAGTGCAATGGAAAAAAGGAAGGGACTCTAAATCTTTCAGGATGATTGTAAAAAGAGGACAATATAGATGCTATATTGCAGAAAGTTCGGTATTTAAAATTATAATTCTTTTAAAGATCACATGCGAAACTTGTGTCAACAACAGTGATATGGGGTGTGATACTATACATTTCTAGTTTGAGGGAGAGAAAGAGTTCTTCTTTTACTTCCTGTCTGTGGTGCATCTCTTTTACTTGCAATATTATATTGCCACTTCCAACACTAGATTTCAGAGCTACAACAGGAGTCTCTGAGAATGGCATCCTGCCATGTCACCGGACACTTAAACTAGTGTTGTCAGCTGCATTATCTTCCAAAGCCTATGTTTCAGCCCGGTGTTGGGAATACAATTAATTCAGGGTCAGAAGCTCATTCTTGTACTTATCCGTACTCTGTATGGTTTACATAAAATGAGTCAATATTGTACACCTTCATAAAGTGTATATAGCATGCCCTTAACATACATGCACTGTGTTTACATGAATATAATTCCAAGTGTTATCACTGGAATATTAACATCACAATAAAAACTCAGATCTCATTTGTGATGTACATGGCTCTTCTCTTGTTAGGATTTGCCCTTCCTTTCCCCTTTGGCTCCACATCTGGACAGGCTGCTAAGAAAGCCAGTACTTCACCTGCATGTTTAAGGCTAACCGGGAATGTCTTCAGCTCCATTGTCAGCATAGGTAACAATGTTCTTCAGCCACAGCTCTCAGCAACTAAACAGGTTTACTCCCTGGGCTTTGGGCAAGTATGGCGGACCTGCCTACCACCACTTTGCTCTCCTGAGTTGCTGTATGAGTCTAACACTTTCATGGTGTTTGGGTGTATACTGTCTCATCATTTCCAACATTTGAATAGGATGACCCCTAACATTTCAGTTTGGAGGAAAAAGAAAAGATACAATTGTGTAAAATTAATTCCATCATTTTAAGGTCAATTTAAACCGTCAGACAAAAATAATGCAGCATCATACCTCCATTATCGTTCAGACTTAATTTCCTGGCATGGAATTCAGACATCCCTTTTGAAAATGAGGTAGATGCTTGCAGTTTAAAATGCAAACAGCCCTTCAAGATAATATTTCATAATTACTATATTGAATAATTGCCTCAGTTATAAAAGTACAACAGTATCTTCTTATGTATCAAATGGTACATGTGAAACACACATGTTTCGGTGTCTCTTTCCTTCCTACTGCTAGTCCCAGGAAATAAGTGTCTCCTAGGCAACCTCCTAGGCCACAGTTCTCTCTTTGTGAGAAAGCTTAAGAAGAACAGATAGACATAGGTCCCTGTGTCCTCTTCAAATCATGAATTAGTAAATTGGCAGCTCAGACTCATGCTCAACAGCCTCCCTTGGAGTCACACCTGGCAGCTCTCTACAGAGATAGAGCTGGAAGATTTTGGCAACACCTTAATTTCTATTTGCTTTATTCATTGTCAACCAAACCAAACCAAACCAAACAAAACAAAAAACCAATGTTCCTCGGCCAGTATGTTCGACACATCTGATTCTTTAGTACTTTGGTTGATAGCCTGAATTCTCAGCAAAGTGATTCTTTGTAAAGAGGAAATGGCCCTAACAGAAACATCATCTTCTTCCTTTGAAGGATCTCCTTCCTTCACTTCCTGTTTTTTGTGCATCCATTTTATACCCAGTGTTAATTTTTTTTCAACATTTTCCTGTCTTCTCTAAACATGTGCATATTTTAAATGAATAGCCATTTTTCTTTTCTTTTCTTTTGTTTCAGGAGAGAAAGGCAAACATATGAGGAGAGAAAAGGGATGGGCAAGGTAGACAACATAAACCTCCTCACAGCTGTCTCCTTGTGTAAAGGGTACAGGAGAAATCTGTTTGTTTTATTAATCATTTCATTTTAAATCAAAGAAGCTGCGCAAGACAAACGGAGAATGTCAGCAAGGACGACATGACAAAGAGGCTAATCAACTGTGGAGTGCTTATACCACCGAGGAGGAGAGAAGAATGACATAAACTGCCTCCTGGGAATGGAGCAGGTAGTGAAACCCAAGCCAGTGACCTACCCCGGTGGGCCACACGTGGACAGTAAAGAAGAGGAGTGATACAATCGGTACCTAAAATAGTTCACAGTGCAGCAACATATTAACTGTGTATGAATCATGTCTTTATTAGAAGATAAATATCCTCACATCCAGTGATTTATCTTATGTTCCTCAAATGTGAAACCATGGAACCTATTGTGAGACTTTTCAGCTGAGAGTGTAGTTGATAAATCAAAGGAGAAAGAAACATTTTTTTGTGTGTGCCATGTAATATGATAAAACAGGTAAACAAAAAAATTCTGTGTCTTTATCCTAAAGGCACAACCATGACAATTTAAATTTCACGCCCTCCAGTTGTCTTCTTGCATAATTGATCTTATAAATAAGATCTCCCCTTTTTAGATATCTTTGTCTTTTATAAATACTGCATGTCTCCGTTTTCTGGTCTGAGTTTGCAGCAGCATCAGTAAGAAGGAAAGCAAACTTCTGAAAGAAGCCTGGTTGCACATTTCTTCTCACCCAGCTTTGCTTGACAGTGAGAGTAGTGCAGTGTTGAGCATAGATAGTTACCTTCTTGATGGTCTCCAGCATGGATCGCCCTCCCTGCCAGGGCTTCGAGTTTTTTCTGATACAGGACAAGCTCGCCATGCTGTGCCACTTGCGGTCCTCCAGCTTCTTATGGAAAGCGTTTGCGAGCAGAAGCACCGTGTCGTAGATGTAAAGGTTAGAAATCTGGAAAGACATTAGACAGTGCTCATCAGACCCTCCACTCCAGCCATCCACATAGAGAGGGGACAGCTCAGCAGCTCTCTCGTGCCATCCACGCTTACTTTACTGAGTTACTTACCAAGCAGAAAGTTTATCTTTTCATTCTCAAGGCCGTTTTGCCACTGAGAACAGGTCTATCTGATTGTATACCTCAATTGCTTTCCCAGATTATTTGGGTATGAAAGAGAAGATTAAAAAGGAATAGCTTTGACAGAGGCAAGGTTACTGTCAGTCTCAGTTCTTAAAAAAACCCTTCATTCATTAGAGGCCTTCATTCCTCTCTGAAGAAGCAGACATCCAAGAGATTCAGATTGGAAGGGACATTGAATAATCAGTTTTTTTCAATATGTCAAGTTTCTACATTGAGGTTATTCATATAGAATCACTCACTTATCAATGTTGCATCAACTCTGATCTTACATGAGTGTCATAGGGTCCAAAGTGAGAAGCAGTCACTTTTGTGTGCTTGTGGAGAAGTGTGTAATACGTAGGACAGTTACCAGAAACATTCACAAACATCAGAATGTCTAGATGCACACAAAGGGCTGTACTGATACATAGACACTCTGATGCACTGTCAGGACAAATGCCATGAACCAGCCTGTAGCCTGTGCCTGTGCGCTGTTACTGTTCTGCCTATAGTAACCACATGTCTTTCTCCTCTGATCAGTACTGAATTACAGCTGAGTTTTCCCCAAGATCTACTGCAATCCTCAAATAACTTTTGCCAGAACTACCAGTCACACTATCAATTAATAACCAAAGCTGCCTAGTTTTTTACAAAGAGATTAGAACTCATTCAAGAAGAATGAACATGAAAAGAGGTAAGAAGTCAATGAAAACTGCCAAATGTTACATTATTGCCTCAAGGAAGGAAAATTTGATATAAAATAAAACTGAGCAAGAGAGGTAGTGATAGAAACTCAATTCACCTTGAAGCATTCCAGCTTTCTCAGGTTTTGAAGTGTCACATCATCACAGTTTTTTTTTCTTCTAAAAACCAAGGAGAGGCTATACGATTGTCAGTGATTGTAATTAATCAAGAAGGAAATTCACAATGTCGTCCCTGCACATTACACAATGCTGCAGAGATCCAACCATTGGGATAATTAGAGTTTGATGTTATTATGCATAGCCATTCGACAGATCGTCCCAATAATGCCTTGTGGGTTTCCTTTCACATCTCAGAGAATCTTTAATCATCTGTGTTTGTTAGGCATCATTTTATGTGTGACTTTATAGAAGTCACACTAGTAGACGTGGGTATTTCTTTGAAGAGTTATGGAAAATATTTATGTACTCTGTGAGACTGAAGTATTTCTTGTAAGGAAATGTTAGGGTGGGCTGTTGTAACTATCACCCCACATAGGTAATTATTGGAGGAAGTAGGTTAGATTGGCTGAAATCTGCTATGAATGACGTGTGAGATCTGAAGCTAAAAGTAACCTATGAATCCAAATTTATGTCAGAAGCACATTGCAAGGATCTAATAGGAAAATTTTAAAGACACGTGAAAGATGAGTGAGTCATACCCAATAATTCATGAAAATATTTGGGCAGATTTCTCAAAATGACCTTCAAAATGTGCTCTTCCCAGCCTGTCCTGGACCACTTCTCACACCTGCCTCCCAGCCTGTCCTGGACTACTCCTCACACCTGCCTCCCAGACTCTCCTGGACCACTCCCTACACCTGCTTCCCAGTCTCTCCTAGACCACTCCTCACACCTGCCTCCCAGCCTGTCCTGGACCACTCCTCACACCTGCCTCCCAGCCTCTCCTAGACCACTCCCCACACCCACCTGCCTCCCAGCCTCTCCTAGAACACTCCTCACACCTGCTTCCCAGTCTCTTCTAGACCACTTCTCACACCTGCCTCCCAGCCTGTCCTGGACCACTCCCCACACCTGCTTCTCAGTCTCTCCTAGACCATTCCTCACACCTGCCTCCCAGTCTCTCCTAGACCACTCCTCACACCTGCCTCCCAGCCTGTCCTGGACCACTACCCACACCTGCTTCCCAGCCTCTCTTGGACCACTACTCACACCTGCCTCCCAGCCTGTCTGGACCACTCCTCACACCTGCCTCCCAGTCTGTCCTGGACCACTCCTCACACCTGCCTCCCAGCCTGTCCTGGACCACTCCTCACACCTGCCTCCCAGCCTGTCCTGGACCACTCCTCACACCTGCCTTCCTCCATCTTCATCTATATTTGCCTTTCCTTTTGCTTTGGGTGTTCGTGTGAGATGGCCTGACAGAGTCCTTCCCTGTGCTTTTTCTTTCTCTGAATAGTTAACATCCTTCATATTCTGTTCAAAGGTTACACTGTAGGAGACTTATCCCCAGTAACCCTTCATTCTGCCTGATGATGTAGGCAGTCCTTTAGAAAATCATTTATTCCATGACAGTTTCATAGAGGAATGTGATACACATTAATGCTTCCACATTCTCTTATCATCTTCCCATCCTGACCTCCCATCCTCTTACTGTTGCCAACTGCCTATCCCATTTTTGTTTCTTCTTTGATTCATTGTGTTTAACCAGGACCACTCTCCTGTGCATGGTATGAGGCTATCCACTGAAGCAGGAGAAGCCCTGTCAGTCCCTGAAGACAATGGCTTCTCCTGTCTTGAAGCTCTTGACAGAGTCAGCCTTCCCTCTACTAAAAAATTGCTGTATTGCTGACTTTTTCTCTAAAGTTGTGAATGGAGATACATGCTTTATGTCCTTTCTTTTCTGTACTTTTGTTTGTTTGTATGTATGTATGTATGTATGTATGTATGTATGTATGTATGTATATCTCCTCTTGACTTACCAAACAGCCTGGAACATCCTTGGCTTCCAATAAACAACTGTCAAAATAAGTCAAGGAATGAGACAAAGAAAGTCAGGTGAATAGGACAGAAGTTAAGACATGAAAAATTTGGCAGGGTTTTCCCATGTCTAACACTTCAGTCCGACAGCATTTTTCTCATACCTAAGGCATGTTTTCTGAGTAGCTATGCAAATGCTTTGACATTGACATGTGATAGATGTCTTCAACCCCTGTCCACGTCTCTCCATGTTTCTACATCACAAACAGCTAGGCCGGAAATGTGTGCGGAACTTTTCTGACCTGTTAGTTCCCCTAGTCTATTTCTTCCTCCTCAAGCAAGTATCCTTTCTCCTTTGAGTCTCGTGTTCTCTCAGCTACTTTCCAGCACCATCTACTGACCTCACAGTCACTTTCTTTATGAGGTCTTTGACTCCTCTCACACCGTGATGCCAAGCTGCTTCTCAGCATTTAAAAAGGTAATTTCAGGTTTTAGACACACATTCAGACCTTACCCATGAATGACGGTCTGAAAGTACGAACATACATCACCGCTAACAATTTTGCACTCCAGCATCTATTCTCCCCTAACTGATTCACTGATTTTCTACAGTTTTCCTGCCACAACACTTGCTCTCTGACACCAGCAAACCTCCAGGAACCATCTGCCACTTGCCCTGAAATACCCTCTGCCCTTCTGTTGATCACTGCCGGGTACAGGTTCTAGGCTGCTTGCCATGTCACATCTCTTCCTTTGTCTGTCTCTTGTTTCTCCTTTCCCTAAAAAGTTTAGTAACTAGAACTGACACATTAATGCAGATGTGAGTTGCCTGGGAGATAGGAGTGGGAGACGATCTCTCTCTTGATCTTGGCAAAGTGCTTTTGACACAGAGTCCGAGACTGTATTAAAGTGGTTCACAGCCGACTTGACTTGCACTGTGATCATATTGAATTTGCCTTCAAAGTAACGATTTTGAGCAGCTGTCAGACCAAGGCTCTTCCACCTAGATTTTATGTAATTGGCTGTGGAACTACTTTATTTCTATGGAATTTCAACTTTAAGGATTATTACAAGTCAATACTAACAATTTTGACCTTGGTTATGAAATGCTATTAATCTTTCTCTCATAGGCTTATGTCTTTTACAGTTTTGATCAAGTAGAGATTGACACTCAGAGGACAGAAGCTTGTGAATGACCATGGAGAGGATATGTGCCCAGTCAAGCTTGAAGGCTCTGACTCCACACTTCTCAAACTGACAGGAAAAGAACAGCTGGTGGCAGACTGTAGACACCACAATGTACACAGTGCCACAGAATTCATTTCATGTCCATTCTAGGTAGATCAAACTTTATAGATTTGATCGACAAATGTAGGTAGTTCAATTTCACTCAGTGACTTAGAGAAAAATATAGTTTGATTGACAGGTTATTTGAAATATTTTAATGTTATAAAGTCTTTAATGCTATAACTTTTTAATTTACTATATGATAACATTTTTAGCACTTGAACTTTTTCTATTGACAGAATTTACTGGTGTTTTAACCTTAGGATTGATAATGTCCAAGGGGTATCCACCTTGCTGCACTTTTCAATGTCTTCCCTAGTGGTTTCTGAAGAAAATAACCAGACACCAATAAAAACCCAATATGCAATGAGTAACACTGGTAGTCCTTTAATATAGTATGCAGATTAAAAAAAACATCAAAGAAGGTTTATTTTGACCTTTCTTGTTCTAAAGAAGGTCCTCTTTTCCCATGTAAAGTACACAAAACATTCACTAACATATTCTACAACTTATACAAATATGCTTAGTACTGTAAACGATTAAAATTTGATATACTAACCTTACAAGAACTGTTCTCCTTTGTTTTGAAAATAATAATAGTAAGTCTACCTCTAGGACTTTGATCCTCTTGCCACAGTTTCCCTTTTCCTCCTAAATTACATTATAGTGGTATTGTGATCCCATCTGCTAGGGTACTGATTGCTCTGTACATTATTTGGCAAGCTTTGTTTAAGCCTTGAGGTCAGGTCTCCTCTTAAAATCTCTAACCCCACGTGTTTTCTAAGCCACTGAAGTACTTTTTATAATGACTTGTGATCGTGTAAAGCCAGCTTTCTATTTCTAAATTGCATTCACAGCCTTAACACTATCAACTGGACGACAGTTTCTCTTGGAAAAACACAGGGAGCCTTCTTTTTTCTCTTCATTAGCACCTAATCTAACAAAGCCTCAGCATGCAGGGAGGACTGCTTCTCTCAAACTCCATTGTTCACATTGTCAATGTTACTTATTGTGCAACTTCAGCTAATCCTGGATTATTCGTTTTTTGATTACTAATTTAAGGTTTATGGGATGTGTCTTCAGTGCTTCCCAAACCTGTCTACCCTTTTTAAATACATTTAAATTTAATAGCTAGGAGACCACTACACAGGCCCATGGTTCCTCACTCTCTCAGCACATAGATCAGCATGACGGAGAATTCAATTTCTGGCTTTAGCGAGCACCTGGGCTCTATTTGCACACTTGTCTTCTTAGGCACTATTTTTACCTGGACACTGTAGATGCTGAGATAAAAGTTGATCTGTGGTCCCACTCACCTGCATCGCTTTACAGAGATGAACTGAGTATGCCTCTTTTCCTAAGGAGTTCTCCACCATCAGCCAGTAAGAACCTAGTGAGAATTTTTCGAGACAGGGTTTCTCTGTGTAGCTTTGTGCCTTTTGCCTAGAACTCACTTGGTAGCCCAGGCTGGCCTCGAACTCACAGAGATCCGCCTGGCCCTGCCTCCCAAGTGCTGGGATTAAAGGCATGCTCCACCACCGTCCGGCTTCAGTTACTTTTTCTAACTACATCGAGCTACAGCTTCAGACCTAGGAAGGGTTGAGTACTGAGTCCTCTGTTTTTAGTGAAATGCTTTAAGCTCAAGAGCTCTGAATTCATATTCTTAATTATGTAAATCTTGCCATAAAAAGGGGAGGAGAAACTGCAGTTGGGATGTATTATGTGAGAGAAGACTAACAAAAACCAAAATATACCCCACAAAAATAAACTTCAAACGTTTCTGTCAGTTTTCCTTTTCACCTAGCAAATATTTAGTATAATTCTGTCATACATAAGAAGTAAGTTAATATGTAACAATTTCAAAAAAAAATTAAACCTTAATTGTTTTGTTCTCTTTCACCTATAGATTTGAGAGCAAAATGAAGAAATGTGTAAGGTGGGGTGTTGGGTCTCTACAAGCCCTGTCTATCCATCCACTAAGTGTAGGGACTGAGAGAGAGAGATACTTGTTCAGTGGTTAACTAAACTAAGGGTTATACTCTTAGGCAAATGCACCTTAATTCTCTGTACTTTCCACAAAAGGCAGCCGATGATGGTTCTTAAGTGCAGTTTATATATTTCCTACTACTTCTTTGGACAAGAACAGCTTTTAATATTTCATTATTTTCTAAATTATTTTATATTTTCGTTCCTACCATTTTCATACCAATTATGCCCATAATCAGCTATGATGCAAAGAATCCATCACAAATGTAAATTATCAATGGCACTAACATTTAGACAGGCGTGGTGAGGCTTCAGAGCAGCTTATCTTGAAGAGGCTAAAGCTACCCTCCCTTAAAACTCAGCAAGGAACAGCAAATGGAATACTGGTACCACAGGCTTAATGCCAGTAAATATGAGGAAACACTAGGGTAAATGGCAATCTTTTAAATAACCTGTAAGTGAAGGGGGGCTGTGGAATTAGCTATCAGAAATGTGGTTTTACAAAATTACCTTATGAGCTATTGTAGGAGATAAATTAGTTTTCTAGGGTTATATTTACACATAGTTCAAACACTTCTAGGTAGTAAAATATTTTCTATACTAAACATTTTAAAGGATTACATTTCTGGGATATTTGATATTTTCCTGATTTGCAAAATTGATAGCGACTAATCTTTGCTGAGATCTAGTACCACCCTTTAAATATTCTCAATGCTAACACAGCCCTACTGTAGTACACATAGGGACTGCTATCTCATGAAAGTCTGTTTTTCTGTGAAGCCCTCTACTGATCACGTGTAAGTGAGTGTGTCAAACTGATTCTTTCTTCCTCCTGTCTTTTGTTCAGCTGGAGAACTTCTCCAGGTCCCCTGCTGCTCAGGCCTGCTTTCTCTAACACCAGCTTCCAATTGATAGATTGAGATCTCTGGTACAAGAGAAAAGTATCTGCTAGGATTTTCCTTCAAAAAGAAGAGAAATAGGCTCCGAGGAGGGAGTTGTCTAAAGGACTGGCATCTGAGTAATTTCGAGAACTTGGTGCTCTCTAGTTTCCGATTCAGAAAATTGTGTTTAATTTGAAATTCTTTCTGTATTTAGGAGAGTGAAGGTACCACTGTCTCTCGTGTGAGTTGGCTATGGGCACACAGCACCACAGCACTCTTTGAATTTTAAATAAGCTTTCTTTCTTTTTTTTTCCTTTTTTTTAAAGTTGAAGTTCTTCAATCTAGAGATTCTTTTAAAAGAGAATAAATATCTATGTCTTTTATTGCACGGTGTTCAAGCAATTCTATTCACTTAATACTTTGAAGTGCAGCATGGGTGTCAATCACAGTCCCCTCTCTAGGAAATGCCCTGTATCTGCTTACTTAGAAGGAAGTAAGATTTCCTTATTGTATTCTTATTAAGAAAGTGGGCATTATTTTCAACAATAGGATCAAAGAGATCAAAGACAAAGGCTCTTTGCCATCCCTGCCAAAGGCACTTAGATGCCAGGGGAGGGAACGTGCCCAAGAACAATAATGCATGCCATTCCTCTCTATTGTCACTCATAGATGTCATCCCAAGCCCCTAAAGATGCTCCCTGGGAGACACCCCGCCCTTTAAAACACACCTCCATATTCTGTGCGAAGGGATCCTTGGGATCACACAGTGTTGAAGAGATTCGATGGTTGCCACGGAAACAGCGCTGACTTATATTCTGGGGGACTGGAAATGTCTGCCGAATAATTGTTAACCTTCCAATGGACCTTCTGACAAGTTCCTGGACATCCACATCATTTATTTCCTAAAAGATAAGAAGTAGAAGAATTAGCAGATTCTTAAATATAGTAGCAGAAACACAAAAGAATGGCTGAGCTGTTTATCTGGAGGTACAAAGGAATCAGTTGCCCTAACACATGTGCTTCATATTTAGCTAGCATTCAAATGAAAGTTATGTGCATTTATCAAAATGGTGAATTCATTCATACCTGCTTTCTGTTGCTTTAAACTGTGAACATGTATGCCTCAACAAGTCTACATGGACCACGTGGCTTAAATAGGCTTTACTAAAAGCAATTTAATAACCAATTATGCTCAAAGCATAAGAGAAAAATATTGAAAGTTCACAAAATAAGATTCAATTATAGCTTATGATTCATTAATATCTTTCATGATATTTTGTGTACCTAGAAAGGGAGATGCAATGTAAGAAGGATCTATGTTTTTCTTAGCTACAAAAATTGAGAATTTTACACAAACTAAGCAAAGACATCAGGAGAGACTATTTTAAAATACCTTTTTTACTGATATCCACATATGTTTCTTATTGGAAGGAATGGGTGCTCAGTAACTACTGATGAAAGAATTAACTTCTTCCTGTGGTTGTTACATAAACGTATGAAGTTCTGTTGATTAGCATGGAGTGAATCATTTCAACAAAACCTAGTGCTATGTAAATGAATTTGACTTTGTGTACGTGTGCTTGCCAGACTCTAAGAAAGGAACCCTCTATTTCCTTCGCCTACATGTAACTATTCTGAAATTAGATATGAAGATTAGGATCAATAACGGACATAGAAATAATACAAAATGATAGTGCTTTATATATACATCTGTCTTACTTGGGACTAGAACAAAAGTGACAAACACAAACTTCATTTTCTCAGCAGTCTTTACTAAAGCACCATGTGCTCTATCATGTCCATTTGGAACCTTTTAAGCTAATGAAGCTTTTATGATGAACAGATTATTGGTGTCGACTGAGTCTTAATGCAACGAAAATAATTATTTTACATGGGATAAGTTATGGACTGCATTCCTGCATATCCAAGGAACCAATACTGAATGACGAAGAGAAACAGACACCTATAAGTGTTTTCTTTTTTTTTTCTCTCTGCCATGTTAATTGCAATTGTCATTCTTTGTGGCAGGTTAGCTAGAAAACAGTGTCTAGTCATTTCTATTTTCATATTTGATATTAATCTAGAATCTCTTAAAGTGAATTAATATCAATATTGCTGTGCCATATTTTTCAGTGTTTTAAAATTCCATATTGTATAGCCAGGAAGCTTCATCTAGAAGGTAGTAAAAGATACACTGATTTTTTTAAAATATGTTAATATGTCGTTTTTATTTCCTAAGCAAATAATTATTTACCCAAACTTATCAAACACTGCAATCTGCATCTTTACCTCACATGGTAATGAACTGCATGCCAACATATTAAAATCAAAATCTGCAGATAATAAATGCCTACTCTGTATCAGACAAAATGCTAGTTCCTTTACCTGGTATTTCATTTTCTTCTAAAAAAAATGACACCAAATCACTGCTTATTAACATTTTACAAATAATAACCAAGAAGATTCAAGGCTCTTCATTCAGATTATTTTTATTCATGCAAGATTTTAGAAATGTCACAAAAAATAAAAGAAATGATGTACACTAATTATGTAAGAAGCTACAATTCATTACAGCAATTACTTAGATTAATACTAAAGAATGATAGCAGTGAAGATAATACACATACATTATGTTAGCATTTAGTGATAGTTTTAAAGTAATAAGATCCTCTGTCCCAAGACACCTCCTAAGACCCTCCATCTGGAGATTCTTCCAGGTCTGTCTCCAAAGGCAGAAATAGCTGGTTGCCATCTAAATGTTCCATAAGATGAAGTTTTCAGTTGTCTAACTTCAAGCAAATCTGAAGAAACGCCAATTTGAATAGAATATATTTTGTGTGTTATTATTTTGAGGAAGGAAAATGAAAGTAATTTTCTGAGAGGAAAGAACCTGGCATTCTGTAGGAAACTAACATTTTACTTCCAATTTTAGTTTTGACATCTGATCTCCAAAACAATTTCAAGGTGGTGTGGCAGCTTGATCAGGACCTACTTCACACTGACTGGAACTTTCTTCTGCTCTCTAAAAGGTGCCCTTACAGAGTGGCAGATACAAAGTCATATAAACATTCAATGACAAATGACGAGTTAATCTAAAACACAAATCCTTTCAAAACAGGAAAAAATTCCCCCAGTAAGTGGCTGTGTTAAACAACAAACTCTTGTGCAAACAGGGTCTCCAATGCTCTCCTCTTTTTGTAAGTAACATTTAAATTGTAAGATTTTGAAAACAATCCCATGAGGAACTAGTCTATGAAAAAGGAATGTCTCTTGAGGCCCCAGCACAGCAAATATGCTAACTGATTTCTACAAAGGGATACAGAAATGTTCTGATTTTTAAGCGTTATGAAGAATCAGAATTGTAACATTGCCCTTGTTGTCTTTGCTTGCATATATTTAAAAATATACAATTAATACTGCCACAAAATCAAACAGGTAACTTTTCGTTTTTACTTCTTTAGGAACAAAGCATATCATTATTTTTCCAAAGACTAATTACAAATAATCATAAATTATTAAGAGTTGAATTAAAATATCCAAGTAAATATTCACTTTACATTAATAGTTGAATATAGTCTGGACTTTGAACTGTGTAAGGCCCATCATGGGAAAAGTCAAAAAGTTACCTAATAAGAACACAATAACAGACATTGCCCAGAACAAATCCTTTATAATTTAGCCATTCCTAAAACCTTGAAGTAGATCAACTTGGGATTGAAATTAACAGAAGTTGGGTGGATGGAAAGACTTTTCCATATCTATTAAATCAGTTGACCACCTGAACTAGATCAATTATTTCAGGAATAAAACAGTTTCTTACTTCTCTTTTCCATTTGTTCCCTCTTTCTCATTCTTTTATCTCTTCACATCTAATAGAGTTCCCGGATCATAGTAAGTATTCAGTAAATTCTGGGAAACTGAAATGTACTGCTTGAACCAATGATAAGGTCTTACTAAACCATCCTTCCATAGAATCAGTAGTTGAAGATTTAATATTAGATCCTTAAGGATGCATTGAAAATGATAAATAATCCTGACAGTAAATTTCACTAATAAGATGTTGCAGTCTGTTATGGTGCAGTTTGAAAAGATGTTTTTTTTCTACTAGGTTTGTGTTCTTCACGCTGTGGCAGAGATGGCCCTGTGACATTTCCAGAAAGTCCAATAGTAACATGAAGCACTTTTGAAAACACTATATTGGAATCTGAAATAAAATCAGTAGGAAGAGGAACATAATGGTAATTTCTTGTTTAATTATTAATATAAAGTTCGATTCATCGTTAAAATAGGAAAAAGAGCAAAATAGCTACTGTATTTCTGTTTTAAAATTTCAAAACAAGAATCCAAATTCCTAAACTAAAGGCTTTGTCTTTAATGTCTTTAACTGCAGTCCTCTCTGACTAAGAATAACGGCTTAAACTTGTTGTAGGTCACTGGAATGATATGAGGCGTTGGAGGCCAGGGCCAGCATCATCAGGGGCACAGGAGGCTGAGAAGCATCACCTCTGAACCAGGTGAGTTCCTATCTAAGTTCTGGCATTTGTAAAACCAACAAAGCACGAAGCCATTTGCTCTAGGGGCCCGAAGGAAGGCTATGACTGATATGGAAAGCCTGCTGTGAGGTGGACCCACTGAGTGCAGGGAGAATAGAAACAGCATCACCAAGTGCTGACTTGATTGATTGCTCCCTGTGAGCTAGCACAGCCTCTCATTAGTACCACGTACTTGGTGCAAATTAAAACAAAATGTATTGTTTTTCAAATTTCTACAACTTGTGCCATAATGCACAATGTCAACTTTGATTTATAATCCCTCTCTATGAAACTATTGGTGCAATAAGATTAAATAAATTTTTTGCAACCTGTTTTAAAATTAGTTGCTAAACCATAGTTATGCAAACTGAACTCCAAAAAAAAATAATAAAAATAAATCACTTTCTCCTGTTCAGTCAAATGGGCATTTGCAAATTGGTGAGGGTTTGTTATTTGGGGAGATATTCAACTTCTTAACAAATTTGAAAAATTCATGTTTTTTTTCCTTTTATTGAAATTGAGGTAAATCATGATTCTTCTATTAATTTTAATAATAGGCATGTAAGTGGAAAAAAATTAGAGAGAAAGATATGGGTCAAATTTCCTGAAGACAACTTCAAGACAATGAGTTGACTGAATGAAACTGGATAGAAAGAAAGAGCTGACCTTGGGATGTACTGGCTGATAAAACTTTTTCTTGTAAATATGTTCATTCTTTGTGCTTCTAACTGGTTCAGGTCAAAACAAAAGCTGATGTAAATGGCACAGACTGTGAACTTTTTATTTTTTGGTTCTATAAAGTTTTGACTTGCTAGAGAGAAACGGTACATTCCTCACGGACTAGAAAATATGACCCTGAGTAAAACACAGTAAGGGTTTCAAGACAGTAAACATGAAGCTACCATTGGAAGCATTTATAGCAAAGTCTTCAGGTTGAGCAAATAATTGAGGTCTTCTATCACCTTCTGCAGTGCTAATATTGAATGAGTAATTGAACAGTTAGATTTACTTGTTTATTGGATACTTTCTTTTGCAAGGTGGCAGCAAAGACATCATCATTGGTGTTAGTCTACTCAACTATGTTTGTATAATATAGCTTATAAGACGATGAAAAGGAAGTTTCCTCTGAAGTAGGAGTTGACCTTTGAACTCTATCCATGTTCACACTTTCAGAATTCAAGTATCACTGTAAGATAAAATTGGATATGGAAAAAGAAATAATATAAGGATACCCCAAAAAGTGAAAAAGAATGACCATCCCATTTAAAGGGTTGTATTCATTTGTTTGATTACCCTCTAAGGAGACAAGAAGCTACTTTTATCTTCCTAGCTGGCTTTGTGGACACAAACAAGTTAGAAGAACCCTGTTTGTTTGCTGCTGGAAACCCATGTGATCTTTAAGAGAAGTTGGGTGTGAAATGAAAACAGGGGTTAGGAGGATTCTTTATTTACAAAGAAAAAGAAATCTACAAAATAATTAAACTAAAGACAACAGAGATTTCAAAAATATAACTGAAAAGAAGAAATATTGAAATAAAAGAAACCCCAAAGCAATTGAAGGTTTACATTGGTAAAACTGCTATTAAAATCCCATTCTTTCCACTTAATAATTTTTGATACTTGGTGGATTATTTAATATCTCCAAATTTTAGCTTTCTTTTAAAATAACAAAAATGTGTATGCCTTTCTGAAAAGTTATGAAAGCTCACTAAACTCTTCTGACTGCTGGTTTTCTTTCTAGTCTGGTATATCATCATTCAGACAGAAACTTTAGAAGCATGACGAGAAGGTCATTGAAGAGAGATCTTGTGCATCCAGACTGCTTGTAGGAATCTCAAAAAAAAAAAAATACATAAGAAATATAGTGACAAATCATAGAAGCCAAAAGATTGGCACTCCCAGACCAGATGGGGAGATGGGCTTCAGTATCTTTATCCTGAGCTAAAAAGAGTGAAACCTTGTGTAGGAGAAACTTTGGAACAGGGGTATTTTATTTTTCTGTTTGGAGAGGAAAAAAAATTAAAGCAATTACATCCTACAGCCCTTCACTATACCCGTCACTTCCATAATCAATCAAGTTACAGGAGAGTGATGGTGAGGTGTAACAGGAAAAGGTGGCTACTGTGGCAGCCATTTTTGAGTCACTCTTTAGGACTTGCTAAGACGGCACCTTACTGAATTCTCTTTGTAAACTCCAGGGCAAAAGAGATATACATATAGTACAGGAAGGTTGTGTTAGGTGCAAAGGAAACACCAACTTCTAAGAGAGCAAATGGTAGTCCTAGACTATAGGAGAATTTCTGGTGGTTAGATGAGCCAGCATCCCACAGGAACTTGTGAATCCAGTTTTCCTCTACCAAAAGGAGCCATTTCTCTTATCACTGGCACAAGAGACAAATGGCCACCTGTGGTGCCTATTAGCATACAAAGCACATGCTGGCCTCTAGGTTCCTTCAGCATCAAAAATACTTGTTATGTCATATGTCAAAGTCCATGTTAGCATCCTTGCCCTTTTCCTAACCTAACTCCCTTAAACCTAAACTTCCTCCAGCTCACTGGCTTCCCTTCCCACAGCTACTCATTTTCCTTATAGCTCTATTTCTCAATATCACTCTTTGTTCTCTCTCTCTCTCTTCCTCTCTCTCTCTCTCTCTCCTCTCTTCCCATCTCTCCCTCCTCCTTTCTTCATTCTCTGGTCCTTTCTGTCCATCACTGTTCTTATCTTGCTCCTTTCTTGGCCAGACCTAGTCTGCTGACTATGTTCAGTGTTATCCTCTCTGCTCTGGACTCTTCCAGGTGCCTCTGGCTATTATATCTCTCACATCTACAATAAAAACCTTCCCCTTAACCATACAATGGAAAGGTCATGTTGTCAGCTTATACAATAAGTTCATTATTGTATAACAATAACAGATAACAAGGCAAGATGAAATCTATTTTGTTGACTGCAAAACCAAAATTTTTATTTAAAAGGCTATGTTGTCCCTAAAACAATTTTATCATCATATAATTCCATCAGCAGCATTGGTACATAAATACCCTATCTGTTTATAAACAAGAGGTAGGGTTAGTCAACATATCCTTCTGAGGTCATAGTATGATGCCAGGTGTAGTCATACTATTTGTCCAGGTCTGGTCTGTTGTTTTCTTTGCTGATCTTGTCTGGCAAATGCTAAGGAAACAACCTTCTTAGATTGTAACATACTCTTCATCCTTTGTATTGCCTTTGCAAAATGTTAGGAAAACTTTCTAAAGGAACTTGAAAAGTCTTTGGATTTTTAAAACAGTTGTGTTTCTTTGTGGAAAAAAAAATCTGTTCTTTGTTGATTCATGTTCATGCTGAACCATTAAATCCTCACGTAGGGAGACAGATATGAAAGTTTTTAAAAAGACATTAAAATACAAATGGAACGCAGACTCTCCCCTGGGGGAGATTCACATTGCTTACAAAGAAGAACTGAACTTTTCATAAAGATGATCTCTCTAAGTAGGCAGTGCATGCAACAGGAAAAGCTAAAAGACACTCAGTAGGGAAGGCTTTTCCCATTTATTTAATTCAGATAAAAAAAAAAAGTTGGTTCTATTTTTATTAGAGAGCATTTATGCAGTACACTGAACCTTTGCTTCCTGTTCTGCTCCCTCTTAGAGGTGAAGGCCTCCTGAGACTCCGTGTGTGAAAAAGTGGTGGTTGATAGCAGGGTTGGGGTGGCTTACCTCATTTATAATGATCCAGTGACAGTCAAAAGCAACCAGATTAGTCTCCACCACCTAGAAGAGAAAACAAACACCACATCATCAGAGTTAATCATGAAGACAGAGCCACTTTGAAGGGATCTACTCCGTCAATGAGCAAAACACTGTCATCAAAGTCGGGAATCAATTACAGATGGAAGCCATCAGCAGAGCAGTGTAATGCAGCAATGCTGGCTGGGAGGTGGGCAGGGGACTCGATAAATAAAGTGGAAGAAAACATGTATCAATGTTAGAAAAATAACAATTTAAAAAGGAAAACCATTTAAATAGTAATGTTTCTAGATTTCCCAGATTTCAGAGCTCACATCACATCCCTTGTTCTGAATACATTTCAGTGCTGGTATATACCTAATAAATATCCAAGTAGCATTATAATCTCATTTGATCACAACTTAATGTTTTTAGCATCTCTCTATGTGTGCTCCTGTTCTGAGTAAACTATTCCAAAAAATGGTTGTGTTGTATTTGAGGTAGTTTCGATTCTAAAGTTAAACTGTAAAATAGTAAAAGCAATTCATATCACATTCACAATAAGTTATAGCTAGGAAATTTTTGTAGCGTTTAGGCTGATAAAATGCAAAAAATGGATAAGCAATATGTAAGCAACAATCTTTTTGTTTGTTTTTGAGACAGGATCTCACTATGTAGCCCTGGTCAATGACCGGGAACACTTTTTGACCTAGACCAGGCTGGCCTTGAACTCATGGAGTTCTTGCCAATTAGACTTGTGGAACACCATGCTTGATGGGGTAGCAATCTTGGCTGATAAACTTTGAATGTTTGGCACAGGCCAAAAATAGGCTTAGTAAACTCTGAACAGATATGTGTGTGTGTGTCTGCATATGTGTCTGTGTGTTTGCAATTGCATATGTGTATGTATGTAAATATGTATGTTCAGCTTTTATAACAAAGTTTCCATTCATGTTATACACTTTCTAAGACATATTCTTACAGCTCATGTCAAGAGCACACAATGAGTGAGGCTGCTGCTCTGAAATAAATTATTATTCTCGGTGGTAGTATTTGTAGACAAGACTTGGTCTCAAGCGAGAATGCTTTCGATTAATGACCGAGGATGTTTCAAGATGTGAACTGGATTTGAGGGTTATTTTTTGTCCTATGGAAACACACTGCTTCAAAGCTGTCTTGAATATGAAGAAATGCAATCCAATGCATACCTGTTATACCGTTACATGTTTTTTTTTCTCTTCAAATACATTATTGTTTGCACTTGTTTTTAATGTTGATATCTCATACTATTTCAATATATGTCCTCTGAATCCCATGAACTTGCTGAGTAATACAGATAATGAGCTATCAGAAAAACTAAGGCTTGTTTTCTATTTTCAGATTTTATCAGTATTGTTTTCAGGGTATCTACATGACCACTTATTGGTAAAATTTTTTATGGAGGATATTGCATGTGACAATGTCCAGTTTTAACTAATGAGAAAAGTACTTTTTAAACATAATATCAGTGATAGCAAAGTTTCTTTTTCATTTTTAATTTTCTTCATTAATAATTAGAGAGGTATATCAATGATTTAGTAACAATGAAAAGCATTAGAAAATAAGTGGAAATTCCAACAGAATTTAAAAAGATATAAACCCAATATTTAGGTGTTAGGAAAATTTATCTCTGTATAAAATGGAAAAATGCATATATATATGGAGAAAATCCTTAAACTTAAAATATGGACTAGAGTCGGGTGGTGGTGGCGCATGCCTTTAATTCCAGCACTCTGGAGGCAGAGCCAGGTGGATCTCTGTGAGTTCGAGGTTAGCCTGGTCTACAGAGCGAGATCCAGGACAGGCACCAAAACTACGCAGAGAAATCCTGTCTCGAAAAACCAAAAAAAAAAAAACAAAAAAAAAAACCAAAAAAAACCCAATATGGACTAGAAAAAAGTTAAGGCCAAGCCACAGATGACACAGACCAAAAGTGCTTCTAAGTTATTAGTGGCAAAAATGGAAGAAGTAATTTAGGAAATAATTGCCCTTTTTAAGATAATCTCTGCCATGCAGACAGGTTAAGAAAATTCAAGTATGTGAATTCTGCATTACATGTAGTTATTGTTAAGAAGTTGTTCTGTTGCAGAACTGTGGGATTACTACACAGCAACACGGAGAGTTTGTGTGGAAAGTGAAAGTAATCTCTCCCACAATGACCTGAAATAAACAGGAGAGAGCACAGAACGTTATGGAGCTTCCATAAGGAAGGGCAACCATCTTGTCTCAGACCATCATGCAACCTGCCTTCCCTCAAGGACAGTTAAGGAACTGCTCTGCGGTACTCTCCTACCCCCAGGAATATTACAATACAAAATCATTCTAGCAGTATTTTCCTTGTTATATTAACACTTCCTGCAGATAATCAGTTCCTTTTCACATTGTCAATGGAGACCTCTTTTCTATAGGTGGGCACCTGTATGGCCCTCTATTTGAGTATGTTAGAGTTTTCCATCCACATGCTGCATGTTCCTTTGGAGACAGTGTCCTTTAGAACCTTTATTAGGCTTTTCAAGTTGTCAAGCCCTCCACTGACTCTCTGTGATGGATGGTGTTTTAAAATCATTAGTCCAATATCTTTCTTTCAAAGTCACGTTCCTGATTCCAGCCCAGATAATGTGAGCAGAGGTGATGCAGGACACTTCCAAACCTGCATGCCTGTGCCTGTGTGTTTGTGCCTACTGCTTGTGCCCACTCGCTATCCCTTGCAACATGTGGATTAGGTTACTGTATCATGCCCAGGGGCACTTTGAAAGTCACATTGGCTCTGGCACAGGGAAGAACTTTTCTCCACATTCTTTGCTGTCACACTGAGCTAATATGAGACAATACATTTGGGGTCTGCTTCTTAAGAAATTCAGACCATCCTGTATAATGCAAAGCATTGATATTAATAGTTGCTCTGTACCTTTTTATAATCTTAAATTTCAAATAACACAATTACTAGCATAACTGAGCCTTTGTGAATTGATAAAGTTTTGATCTGAAAATTGTCAGGTGTGTGCTGGACATTTTTGTGGGTATTAAATGTTTCAAACTTCCTTCTCCAAGTGTATTTTTCTTTGTAGCAGGAAAGCAATTGCTATAAGAATGATACTTAGTAATGAAAAGGTAGAGAAGTCATGTCCTTTTAACCACACAATGAAAAATATTTATACATACACATCTATGTAATACTGTAGCATCAAGTTTCAAAGAACCACTTTTCCCCCCACTACAATACATGCAAAATGTTATGTGGAGAAATGTCCACTAAAAGAGGAATAGAATTCCCTTAGGTCAAGGTTAATTTGTTCATGAATTAATAATAAGATCACATGGGTTCTTGGAGTTTTCTTTTAACTGAACATTACTGAAAGAAGGCAATATTTTGAAGAAACTGATCAGAAAGCTAAGGAACTGAATAGAAAGATCATTTGGAAAGGGGATAAAAGAGGACAGAGATCAACAGCCTAGACCTTAGAACTTCAATGACTACTACCTGATCAACAGTAAAAGGCACAGGGGGCATATCAGAGAGGCTGAAACCCACCAGAGAATGAAAGGAGAAGCAGGGTGAGGATGTTATCCTCCTCACAGATTACCAGCCCCAGCTGACTGTGCTCATGTTTAAGGAAGATACATTCACATAAAGGAACTTTAGAGCTGAGTATAGATATGGAATGACCACTGGAGGTGATCGCTGGGAATCCAAATCAGTTTACCTGATAATCTAAATAGTTTTAGTAATATTGATCTCTTTCCATGTCACAGCACTTTAGGTTCAGTAATGCTGTAGCAAGCTATCGGCACTGATGAGTTAAAGGACCAAATTCTGGATTTCAGATGTTATTATTTTAATTATTTCAAGGCATCTGAGAATTTCTAACTTCTTTGTATTTATTTCTATAGTTATGTTAGAATTCTATCAGGAATGATTGTTTCTCCAATGATGTATTCTCGTTGTCAATGTGATCGGATTTAGAATCACCATGGAAACACACTCCAGGTATATCTATGAGGTGGTTTCCAGAAATGCTTATCTAAGCTGGAAAGACCTACTGTGAATGCAAGCAGCATCATCCCATGGACTAGGGGCACAGATCTCTTTACCTCCACTAAGAGACTTGGTGCTTTCAAAATAAATCCAAAGCTATACTGATCTAACACAGTGTGAGGCTGGAGAGACAGAAGTTAAGAGTATATACTGCCAATGGACCTGGGTTTGTTTCCCAGCATCCACCTTGAGAAGACTCACAACTGACTTTAACTCTAGTCCAAGGGGATCTGATACACCTTCTGGCTTCTGCAGGCACCAGGCATTAGCATTCATCTCTCTCTCTCTCTCTCTCTCTCTCTCTCTCTCTCTCTCTCTCTCTCTCTCTCTCTCTCTCTCCTCTTTCCCTCCCTTCCTCCCTCCCTTCTCCCCCCTCCTCTGATTCCTGTCTTCTGATATATCCTCACCAGCTGCCATACCTCTGCTGTCACCCTGGCTTCTCTGCGTGAACGGACTGTGTACTTTCTTAAACACTGCATCAAAATAAAGCTCCCTCTTCCTTAAGTAGTGCTTGTCTGTTTTTTTTTTTTCTTCACAGAAGCTAGAAAAGTATACATCTTTTCTCATCTTTCTTACTTAAATAGCACAACTCACATTTTGCCAGTAAACGTTTCAAATCAGTGAAATGGATTAAGGAACTGGATTGAAGTTCTCCTCTTCTTTTTTTCCTTGGGAATAAGGCCTCTTTCTTACTGAGTACATCAGTGCCACAATTCTGAGGTCTCGTTGTGTGGATTATTAGCAAATTCTAGTTGTATTTTTAAAAGAAAATATCAAAAACCTTAGGCCATAAGAAAGTAGTGAAGTATTCATATTTCAGCAATAGTATTAATTTCCAGGTTGAGCCAGAAAAGCTGCCTGAAAGACTCTGTCACTGCTGGGCAACCCCGCAGCAAACAGCTAGCTGAAGGGAGCCCAGCAAAGCAGAACAAAGCTGCCTGTGGAGCATGACCTGAACCCAGCTGAGTGA